CAATGTCAAGACATTATACTTAGAAGCAGCAAGACATTGGATAAAAACTCAAAAAGTGCTCTTGTCACGACCCAATGGTTGACACATCAAAATACAAACCATTATGATGAAATATGTTATAAAAAGACTAAAATTATTCGCTTTTAAAATGAAAGGCATCAAGCAAATAAATAAATACATTAAAATAACAATTTAAAATTAGAGTTCGCTCTCAGAAATATAGCCATCCCCACCCCTCACATCAATCCCACGAGCCTCTTATCCATTCTCATTCTCATTAGATCACGGCGGGGGAGTAAGTAAAAAATACAAAGATTATTTACAAATGGAGGTGTTACAAAAATCATGTACAAATAAACAATAGACTCAAAAGATTGATTCTAATAAACAAGGTCGCCTCAACAGTCGCACGACCTAGCATACCCCCACCATGACCGGTGCTCTACTACTCACCTGAGAACATGAAATATAACAAGAGTATAAAAGTAGTCAGTAAGCAATCTACTTGTAGACTCTTGTGGAAACTTATTCATATACACATTATCTAAAACTATGTGCTCATAATTGCCCCTAGAGTTAACCAAACTAAGGCTAAAAGTTCGTACTAACCTATCCACGTCTCTATGTGCCCAAACCCTATACATATCTCCCATGTGTTGTGCTCTAACCACCTCGGGGTTATAACTAAATGGTTTTGGTACTCTACACACTGTTTTACACATACCTAGGTCCCTCGTAATACTTGATGCCCCTCAACCTGTATGCTTATAAGGTCGAGCTTAGGGTAAGTCTAGTAAGTATGGAGGAGACCTTTTGCTCTAACATAATATACATACTCTATTTAATGAGTTCCAACCAGAGGATTCTCCTTAGTGGTGTCGGGTTATAACTACTTGATGTATTGCCTTTTCAAACAGAAATGGTAACTGGTCTGTCGCATCACCGTTTCGGGCAGAGACACTAATTGACCTGTTCTTGCTCCCTCTTGGGCTAGAACAATAAACTACCTCTCAAGTTGCTCTTCCTAGTAGAGACAGTAACTAACCGAGCTTCCCCACTAGGCACAACCGAAATTACCTCAGTAACGAACAATCAATGACTCCTAAAACTCACCAAGGGTGACAATTGAGCTAAATGTACCTGATAGACCCTAACTCCTCTTGGTTAGTTCACAAATAAAGTTTACATCACATGAGAATTAAGTAGAAAATTTCGGGTCGTTACATCACTGTTTTTTTTTTAGCGACAACTCTCATCTTTGGGGTGAATTACTTTTCTGTTCTTAGACTTAGGTAGCTTGTCTTGCCCACATAGTGATTGAAACAGTGACCTAGGTTGAGGCGCGACCTTTGACATTCTTAGTAGTATGGTGTCTACTAGTCTAAACATTATCCATGTGGGGTTAGGTGACGAACCCTCCCAAGGGACCATAAGGTCACCAAAGCCGGGGGGCTACTAGGTCAACCTATGTGATCCAATGCCCCCTCTCAAGAACGGGTTTATAGCACAGAGGCCCTGTTCAGGAGACCACCAGTCATTTCCACATGGTTGAGGCACCTAGTCGTTTCAATGCACCTCCCCTATCTGGCCTATGTCTACCTCGACAATACGGGTACTAGAGTAGAATCTTGATGGAACGGGTATCAAAGTGGATAGGTAGCGGAGACTCTGATGATACTGTCAAAATGCTATCAGCCTGAAGAGCTACCTTGGTCATCCTTGGTTGTCGTGGAGGTCTACTAGGTTCTTGGGGACTTGTAGGCGGTTTAAATCTCATCTTTCGTTTCCAGAATGCTAGAAGTTAGCTTTTTGGGGCTAATCCAAATTCGTGGGTGCACTCAGATCTAGACCTATGATCACCACTCTCAATCCTGGGGTGCAAGGTCTACTAGAAACGTTTTGACCTAGGTCAACGTGTAAATCACACTAGTTGTAGCATCCTAATCTTAACTGAGTTCTCTCATGCATGCTTTACTAGGGAATTATACCTATCGATCACCTAAGCACGTAACCCATAATTTATACTTCAGCACTAGGGTCTAGACCCTCTTAACTGTCACTCGCGATCCTAAGGTGCACAATCTACTGAAGGTATCCTGACCTAGGTCATCATCTAGTCAACCTAACTTTAACTCTCTAGCTTTATGCAAATAAACATGTTCTACAGGGAGAACAAACCATCAATCACATAGAGCTAAAACATATTATATCATGCATGTATACAAGCAAACAAACTCAACAAAGAAATAACATCCATCAATCACACAGAGCACAAATCGTAATTCCCTTCCGCCTTTCTAGGGGAAAGCATATAAAGACAGCATTCATCACAAATCTCATCATAGGGGCATTTAGGCAAGTTTTTTTACATTATGCATAACATACTCATCCATATTGCACAACTCATGCATATTCTCTTTCTAGCTTAGCATAATACATAAAACATGTTTCTCAAAAATCTCTACCTACGACATAAGGGTAATTTTATAATAACATTTATACCACACATACTCATCCAAAAATACCCTTATGAAGTCCTTAACTTATATTATGACCACATCAGGCCTCTATGTGCAGACAAACAAGGAGGTGACATGTGATTGGCGCTATATGACCATGTGAAGACCAAAAAAGACAAGTGTCATGATGCGACCGAGGAAGAGTATGCATGAAAGAAAAGCTGAGGCATAAGCTAGGTTAGATGCAACCAGTAGTCATGAGTGTTAGACAAGCTTAAAGAGGGTTTAGTGGGCCTTAGGTCATAACCTCATAAGTTGATGTTCCAGTGGGAGTTTCGCATGTAGCTCGGTAATTAAGTACGTACGAAAAATGAAAGCTCGCCAAATTTGGTATCGATTGGACACCAATCAGACACTCCATGAGGCAGTATAATCGCTCACCAAACTTAGGAGAGACATAGTATCAACTCTCCACCAGCTCTAGGCCATGTTCCCTAAGTAAGCTACCTAATGGCACATGCGTATTTCATAATGTTGGTGAGCATTGCAAGATGAGCATCTTAGGTGTCTTCTTTTGAAAATGGGTTTTTTGAGGACAGACACGAGAAATGACTTGGCATAGACACAAGAGGTTCCATGCCTCAATAGTGTTCACATAGATAGATATTTGGGATGTCCTGATGATATAGTGACTCATGGGCTGATTATTGATAAGCATGTGAGAAGTGATAGCCAATATCTCAAGACTTGGGATGACATCTCAAGACTTGGGATGCCATCACAAAGCGTGGTTCATGTTGTCGCAAGCCAAGATGATGAGATAAGATGTAACGTTGCATTTGAAGGATCTTGACCTAGAGTAGATGTAAGGTCGAGCCGAAGGACTTGGCCTTAAATAGTGGCAAGTCGGCTAAAGTCGCAAGCAAGTGAACATGCACGCATGAGTGGCGTGTATGGCTAAACTAACTTAGTTTTTGCATGAGTTCAACAAAGAAGAGCCTCACCTAAGGGTCAAGGAAGCCACAGAGGCGGGTGAAAATAACAATAGAGCTTGAGTTTTCCTTAACGCTTGCCATGATCGTGTTGAGATCATGACATTGCACAATCCAAAAAGTACGACTATAACACACTACACTCTCTAACTCTTTGTTCCTTTTTTCATGAACTTATCAGAGTCCTTATTGAATTGCTAACCCTCTTCCTGTTGTGATATGAACCGAGACATCAATCATGCAATATAAACTTAAAGGAAGATGTGAAGAAAATGTTTTCAAAGTTATCAAAAAGATGTTTTAATTCATGCCGCATTGAAGAAGAATCAAGTTTCATTGTTATAAGTTTTGGGTGGATCATAATGGAAGAAGAATCAAGCTTGTACTAACCTATCCAGGTCTCTATGTGCCCAAACCCTATACATATCTCGTATGTGTTGTGCTCTAACTACCTTGGGGTTATAACTAAATGGTTTTGGTACTCTACACACTGTTTTACACATACCTAGGTCCCTCGTAATACTTTTAGTTTGGTACTCTACACACTGTTTTACACATACCTAGGTCCCTCGTAATACTTGATGCCCCTTCTCAACCTGTACGCTTAGAAGGTTGAGCTTAGGGTCAGTCTAGTAAGTATGGAGGAGACCTTTTGCTCTAACATAATATACATACTCCACCATCCGGTTATTTAATGAGTTCCAACCAGAGGATTCTCCTTAGTGGTGTCGGGTTATAACTACCTGATGAAGCCTTTTCAGATAGAAATGGTAACTGGTATGTCGCATCACCGTTTCAGGTGGAGACAGTAATTGACCTGTTCTTGCCCCATCTTAGGCTAGAACAGTAAACTACCTGTCAAGTCGCTCTTCCTAGTAGAGACAGTAACTAACTAAGCTTCCCCACTAGGCACAACCGAAATTACCTCAGTAACGAATAATCAATGACTCCTAAAACTCACCAAGGGTGACAATTGAGCTAAATGTACCAGATAGACCCTAACTCCTCTTGGTTAGTTCACAAATAAAGGTTGAGCCCTAATTGTCCCTACAAGGTACCTGGTCAACCCAGAGGAAATAGCGGGACCTGTAACTAGGTTCTAGTACCTTAGTAATGTAAAACAGTGGTTCATGATCTATAACCAACATAGTAGAACTTTATGGCACATAACGATCATCTAAAGCATAACCGAGGACAATCATAGCATACATCATTCTCAACATAATCAATATAGGGAATAAAATAAATCTAGGTATGCTGGAAGGGTCATGAACATGTTCAAACTATCAAAGCGGAAGCTATAAAGTTGTAAATTGTGCTAAACCGTAAATTGGACACGTTTCGAAGTTTAACTACCATTACACTAAGTCAATTAAGTTCTTAGATATGATTGGTAATCATATGCCTCTATCCTAATCGACTCCTACAAGTACTACTCGATACTTGCTCCGTATGCTTACTTGCTTGCTCATGCGTGTTTTGAGCTCTCATTTCTTATCCTTCCATAAGTTGTTTTCCTTCTAAATTTATAGGGTAGGCTACCAATTGTGTCTAGTTTTTGGAACAATAAACAATTTCATGAGAACTGATTTAAACAAGGGTGAACCGGCCAGTGAGCTGTTTTCGTGATTGATTTTAACTAGCAATTTCCTTCTCAATTTTCTTGGGTAGCTTCCAATTCGAGCTACTATGTGGAACCATAAAACTCATTGTGAGAACTAGTCTAAACAAGGGTGAACTAGTCTAAACAGTAACTAACGGTCGGTCAATGTAGCCATTTACTTATTCAATCGTGTTCGGGATCGGTTTGTACGAGCCTCTTAAAGTTGTTTCTTGCACAAATTTCTTGGGTAGGTCCAGATTGGGACTATTTTCTGGAACATCAAAAATCAAAGTGAGAACCAACTAAAAGTGGGCGAACCGGTCAAAACAGTGGTGAAAGGTCAGAGGCCACCATGACATCGTCTTCAACCTCTGGTCATACCTTCAGTGCGCAAAATCGATATTTGACCCATCTAAAACTTGATGATTACTGAGTGTTCTAGAGGCAATTTTTCCTCAATTTCTTCACGAAACTTGTAATCCTACACACCATGGTTTATTTAAGACAAGTTTCATTAAATTGGTTCTAAATCGAGCAAGTTAAAAGGGTCAAAGGAAGGTACCTGAGAATAACTTTACCCACATTCTCAACTCCAAGTTGTTCTCGATTTTGACATTGAGAGCTCATTCCTCTCGACTTCAGCAAATTTGTTGCTTAAAGCTTACTGAAAGTTAACTTATGGGCTCTTTGCTTCCAGCGACTTTCTGTCTTCACCAAAGTCGTCACTCTCCCTGCCACAAAGCTGTACAAATTGGTTTAAAAGGATGAGATTCATCCTGGAAAAGAATTTCTCAATTTTCAACATTCTTCGCCAAAACGTTAATTAAGAAATTGAGACTCCCTTCACTATTTTTCTTCGAACTCTTCAGGAAAAACTTTATATGCTCCAGATTCTAAAGGAACAAGCTAGACATAATAATTCATGGTAAATAAAAAAAAGCTCAATTTCATAAAATTTACCAAGAATGACTCTTATGGTGTTTCATGATCCCCACATTTTCGTGCTTTCCTTTCTTCATGAGTCTTGTCCAGCTGTTCTCCCTGAGTCCAAAGAGACAAAACTCGAGTCATGAGGTTGTCTATGGAGGAAGAATTTTGAAAAAAAATCTGAGAATGGATACCCAAAAAATATACCTTGATTACTTTCGATTCCTTCCTCTTTTTTATGTAGGGATGAAGTTGAGGTTGTCCTCTTTCGAATGAAACCATTTTAAGCTTCTAATTCCAAGTATGGAGGGAGCACCCGTAAGGTTTGAAGTTTCTTGGTTATGGAGAGGTTTGGAGAACTTGAAAATGGAAGTTTTGGTTGTTTTGATATGTTTCAGCTGAAACTACAGAGTCAATGGGTCATCTAACATTTGAATCCCATCTCTTAACTCTCCGCAGTTGGCCAATTTTCCATAGATTACACGTCCCTTCTATAGGGAGAAAACTAATTAATTCCAGAACAATACATATAAGATTAACTACTGTGATTACATAAATATTCCTTAAATCAAGATTTGTTCTTCAACAATAATCTTATTTTAAAGGTTTGTTCACCTAAAAAAAGTGACAAACAAAGAGATCCTGAGTAGTCGATAATTAATTGAAATATTTTAGTTTGAAAAGGACTTTTGAATGCATAAAATAAAATACCATGTTTCACTGTTGAACCATATGCATTATAGAGAGTTTTAAATTTAAAAAACTAAAACTAGCTAAGCTAAGCTATAATATTTAACCATACATTATTTGATAGTCTAATACAACAATCAAGATAAATTAAAACTAGCTAAGCTATAATTTAAGGTATTGAAATAAATCACATCCAAGGAACCTTTCTTGCTGAGAGTTTAAGAAATTTCTCAAATACAAAGTGCATAAAAGCAATAAAAATATTTTTGAATTCTACTCATACTGCTACAAGGTAAATGTCTTAAAGGCTACGGGAACTAAGAGGGACATATATTTTATACGTATAATTGATTCGCTGAATGTAGCTGAAGCCAAAAAATCCAACTCAGTTCCACCTAATAACAGCCAATGGTCTAAGATTCAAATCAATCCTAACCTATACAAGGCAAAGGTGACCTTCGTGAGCCAAGAGCAATGTTATGTACTTCCATGAGTTCGATATGAAAATAAGCTTGATGCCTCACATGAGTTCGAAACGTGAACTCATGATCAACCATAGATTTGCTAACCCCAACCCTATTTTCAATTGCATAAACTTATACAAGTTGAAGAAAATCGTGTTAGGTTTCTTTTCTTGCCGTCTGCCAAAGATGGGGACTAGTTTGATAGTAACTTTATTAGTAATGTGTATTTATTTCTTTTTCCAAGCATTCTTTTTCTGCATTAGAAATTACTTGAATAAACAATTTTTTGAATTCATTAAGAAAAGTCCAACCCCAAAACAAAATGAATAAACACCATAGAAAAGAACATGACTAGCCGTACAAGTATATCCCAACATCAATCAACTTAATCAACTTGTAGGCCAAGATCTAGCACTTCCATGAGAGTTCCATGGGAAAATAAGCTTGATGCCTCGCAAGTAAACAACTCCATTTAGTCTTTTCTTATGTAAGTTTTTATACATGAACTGATTACTTTATTCCCTTTTCACATCGGGGTGCCTCTTTTCTTTTCAATTGTCGTCTAATTTGCTTCCATGACCTATGATGCACATATTAGTAGGGAAAGGTTTCATTCCATGTCTATTAGATGTAAAAATATTCCTTATAACTTACTGTCATGCTGAAAAAACAGATTGCATAATTAGATGATCGTGCAATGTTGTATATAGAAGAATGACCAAAGAAAAACTTAAATTAGACAGCCAATGTATTCAAGAAAAAAAAATTGCACAAGTATTTTATATCAGTGACAAAAAACACAAGATTATATACAATGGCCAATGTGAAGAAAAACTTCGAGTACATCATACATAATATTTTTACTAAACCAAATTATGGAATAACAATGAAATGTCAATGAGTATGAAATTGTCCCCAAGGTCCAAACCATCAAGAACAATCTTTAGAAGTTTAGTTTTGGACCAAAAATACTAATAAAATTAGGAACTTTCAAACGTCGAATGATACATGAAGTTTAACGAACCAAAAATTTTGAAAGGCATAAATTTCTTCCATGCATGAATAGGCTACTCATAATAAAACCCAACATGCATTGACTATCATAACTGCAGGATAGCTACACATAAACAAACACACTCAATTTATAAATTTCCTATACATGAATGAATTGGCAAACAATATTGCATGATAACCACGAGAAACCACATAATTAATTTTAATATTAAAACATACCTAGGTGTTTGAAAGTCCCTCATCTACCTCTGCTCGCTCCAACCACCTACCTTCCCATGTTGAAAATTGAGTGTTAAAGCCGACGTTCGTTTCTTGCATTTGTTTGTAATTTGCCTTCATCTTTACCATCTAATCTTTCATATTTTTTATCTTCTTTTCCAACTCTTTTTTGTATTGCGAGGAGGATGTGACACTGGATCATGAGCTAAGTTTTGAGCTTCAACCAAGATCCTTAATGTGGTCTGATCGATGATCCACAATCGGTTTGTGAACCTCTGCACTGGAGATCGGGTCAAACCCTTCTTGATAACCATTTACAGTATTCGAGATTATTTTGCATGGGTAAGGCATCATTTCATTTACATACATATATGATTATGGGAACACTAATAACAGTGAGTTAAGTATTTTCAGATTGTCTTGATTGGCTCTATTTATTTTTTAAGAACAAGGCTTCAGAATCCATGAACCCAGCCCCAGTAAAAAAAAAGAACTTGAAAACACACCTAAGCAGCACCTAAGACAGACAATTGCTATAACTTTCAGACCTTCAAAATATTATGTCTAGGTGTAAGCAAGAGTAGGAAGGTTTTGAAACTAGTGAAACTAAGAAATGCCTGTAGATTTTTGAAGCATTGTTTCTCATTCATTAATTATAAATTGCAGGAGCCATTAAAATGGGGCTAAAGTCCCATTTCACGTCATGAAACAGACTCGTATTTCAGATGGAATAGTCAGTCAGTTCTTATTGAAGTGTCCTAATATGAGCTAAAATATATTTAAAGATTGAAGGTGATAAAGAACAAAAGATGTATATTAAGATTTAAGATTTTGATATTAATATATGACCAGATAATAAAGTTTGGTAGAGACTCGTAGAGGAATGAAGTCGGCCTTCTAGAATAAGTATTATTACTATGAACCTAACAACGTCCATTTAACCTGAGATCATCCATGGTAAGACACTAATATCACTCTTTACACAGGAGCAACCAAAATTAAGTGAAACAAAGACTAACCAGGTACATCGACCGCTGGTGCATGATATTTGTCCGTTTTTGATTAGCCAAGTAATGAACCACCCTGGTTGCGGAATTCCTCCCTTGGGAGTTGTATTCCAAATGGAAACACCAAAATTTGATCCACGGGGATAACCACCAATAAAGGCTTCTGGAAATACAACTAGCTGGGATCCAAATCTGTTGATGTAAACCAGAATTAGTTTTTCATTACCATCCCAGAAATTAGAAAACAACCACATGGTCATAGGCTACTAAAATAGTTGCTATGTACGTGAGATGATCCACAACTCTATTAATGGTTTCACAGATCCTATATCCCAAAAATCTATGCTCCTTACTCTTGTTCATGTTATCCACCCCCCTCAATACTCAGCCGAACATCCACAGAAGACCAAACTCCAACCTGCAACTGATGGAATTCTAATCGCTAATACAATTCAGACCAAAAGTGGATTGAAAATGCAGTTTCACCTTTGTTGATGGAATTCAACCATTACATTACACCAGGACTTAATAACATATAAAAAAAAATGCAGAATGGAAAACAATTGGCAGAGTCAGATTAGGTAAAAAGAATTCTAATTACAGCACAAAGGCTAGCTTTAGTTTTAATCTTCAATTGAAATTTACCTTGTTTTCCTGTGAAGAACGCAAACGCAAGGTTTGAAATGAATACATATTCCTCCATCCCAAACTGCTCCTCCAATACTCTCCACGAATGCGTCCGCTTGAACACATCCAAACTGTTGTCATTAAAAGCTTCGTTTTTTCGCATTAGGATCCACCAGCATCCATGTGCAGCTCTTTGAGTTTAGATGAATATTCCTAGGACGCTGTGAAATGTATAACATGGAACCGAAATAGCGCGGAGGAGTTGAGATCGGCCGCCAAACCTACCCGAAGGACGCAGAGAAAATGGGAGGAGTATTGGCTTTGGAAGAATGGGCGGGAAAATAGACGACGGAGAAAGAAATCCCTCCGTTCAAACTGTAGGGGGAGTGGAGGGGAGCAGAAAATTATGTCTGTTTTGCGCGCGGAACACAACGCGCTAGCTAAGGAAAAAAAAAAAAAAAAAAAAAAAGGAAAAAAACTGTTATAGGCGGGTTCGAACTCTGGTCTGGAGTTTAAAAGTTAAACAAGCGAAGCGATTATACCTTAAGCGAACTTGTGAAAGAAGGCGTTTTAAAATTTTATCTCATTTCAGTTTAATCAGTAAACCGAGCTCCAGAATCAGACGAACTCAAACTCGTACTGTATAGAGCATACATTTCGAAGAGCATATCTCTCTCGATTCTGAGTTGTTTTGAACAAATGACCACTCTTTTTCATACGTTTTTTCATGATCTATAAACCCATGTTGATAAAAACAATAAAAAATTTCAAAATCTGGACTTTTATATCCTTCAAAAATTACTTCCAACTATGTCGAAACTTTGAGAGACCATAACTTTGAGCTCCGTTAATCAAATTTGATGAATTTTTTTTTGATTCCATGTAACTTTTTGAGAGCTATGCCCTGGCAAGTCGCCGAAGGCGGCTTGTCCGACCCTTCGACCCAAAATACGGTCGTTTTGGGTCTCAAATTGGATTACACAATGTTTTTCTTCAAAGTTTTCATCTTTCTGAACTTTCAAACCAGCACTTCCCAACTCTATGGTGGTTCATATTTTGTGTTCTTCATTCACTTACATGAATGTACTATATAGTGCGGGGGAGTATGGTCGCACGGGCGGACATTGGGACGTTGCAGTGGTGCCTCACATACACGGGTATGCCTCAAAATGTACTATATAGAGGATGACTAGTCTGTATGGGAGGAGCATCGCACATCGCATGGTGTTGAATGAGAGGGGCACGGGGACGAGTCAGCGGCGGGAGGAGCATCGCATGTCGCATGGTGTTGAATGAGCTGATGGAACTTGAAATGTAGAGGACCGAGTGCACCTTTTTGCAGAGCTTCGAGTGTTCATTCTCTGATGGTTATGCATATAACATCTGGCGGTAACTGGTTATACCGTACAAGTGGATATTGTTGGATGATGGAAGTCCCACATCGACTAATTTAGGGTG